CCCCCCCACTGCCCCCCTCTGCCTGCCATTCCCCACACCTCACGTCTCTGCTCTTCTTTCTCTAATTTTTTAGAGCTATTTGAAGAATAAAAATTCCCACTAAGTAATTGCAGGCAGAGCCTCCAAGCTCTGTATTTTTAGGGTCCCAACGTTTAGGTTTATGATGCCAAAGTTACTGTTGAGAGTTTGGGGCTTTTCCCCCATCCAATAAAGTATCCTAAAGAGGAAAAATAATCCGGTCATGAACACTTTCTATAATCAAGTATTGGTTCAGTACCAGTGTTAGCAGTGCTAGAAAAAGGCTGGTAATTATAAAGCGGTTCGTTAAGACCATCTGATGCAGCCCAGGCGCAGTGGTTTATGCCTATAATCCCAACACTTTGGGAGGCTGAGGTGAGAGGATTGCCTGAGCCCGTGGGTTCGAGACCAGTGTGGGCAGCTGGGCGAGACCTCGTCTCTACAGTAAATCAAAAAATTAGCCGGGCGTGGTGGCATGTGCCTGTAGTTCCGGCTACTTGGAAGACTGAGACGGAAGGATCGCCTGAGCCCAGCAGGTCAAGACCACAGTGGCCAGGAGTGTGCCACTGCACTCTCCAGCCTGGGTGACAAAGTGAGACACCAACTCAAAAAAAAAAAAAAGACTGATACCATAGGATGGCTCCATGTCCTATTTGAACAAGGTTCCTGTGTAAGTACACAAGTGAACTCCCTGCAGTAGACATGGTCTGTATTGATTTCAAGAGTAAGTTCGCTCAAGTGCTATGTGTAACCTCACAAACAGCTGAAGAAATGCAGACTAAATGCACTCACGTAGGACCCTTGGTAGAAGTCACATCAAAATGGGCTACCACTGTCACCTGGAAGGGGACCTCGGACCTTCTCTACAGGGTTTTAAACAATGGCTTGAATAAAAACAGAGGAAGCATATGGAAAGGCTAACATGTGACAGGTAAAGAAACAAAATCCAGATGGGATGAAACACTAAGAATAAACTAAGTGCAAATAAATGCAAAACAAAGCACCCTGGAGGCTAAGGCTCAGGGGAGGCATGGGGAGGGCAGGTAGTTCACTGTGAAAGTCAAGGGTTCCTCCCACACAGTCGAACACAGCAGATCTACTTACAAACAAACCAAGATCAAGAACGCTCAGAAAGCCTGGCAGAAAAAGCCATAGATACCAGTGCTGGCTCGAGATGGCAGGGACGGGCATTTGCTCAGGATCTTCTTGTCGCTGCTGCGGGCGTCCCGCGTCCGGGGCTGGTTGGACTTGTGCTCCAGGGAAGACGAGGAGGAGGAACCGCTGGCAGCTCCAAGTGGGGTCACTAAAGCCCGGGAAGAAGGACACACCTGTGTGGGGAGCCAAAGGGACCGGCGCAGCTCCCAGCAGATCCTTCTGGAACATGCCTCGCAGCTTCTGCAACAGGGTCACCCACTGCTGTGGCAAATGCCTGGTTTGATCTAAACATGTCATGTTTTCTACACGAAAGATGTTATACGACACAGGCAGTAATGTTGTAAGGATCCGCACTGCAAGCCCACAGCCCATATGGGAGGGATGGCCACAAAAAATCTGACCACCCGGTCTAACCACCACCATTCCCACTCACCTCAGAGGGGACAGTCCAGTCCCAACTCACTGACATGACAAACGCTGTCGGTGTGTTTTAAGGTAGCAGACGTTGAATAGTAGGACGTTTTGGGCTAAACTGACAGCCAGCAGGGACACTCTCACACACACAGTCACCTAATGACTGACACTTGCAATTTTCTGTCAAGCCACTTGCTCTGTTAAATTTCCTTTCATTCCCTCTGAACCTAGCGAAGTCGTTCTCTCATTTAGGACATCAGGATCGCAGCACAGGATTTTATACCCCCAAAAAATAAAAAAACAAAAAAAAACTGTGTAGGCTTTATTATGAGCTGCTTAAGGGATTTTCAAGGGTAATTTTCTGTAATGATGATTCCCTCATCAACTGTAACACTTGACCTCTGTATAAGCTGCTTTTCCACCACATTATTTTAAAGTTTCATCATAAATTGAACTTCAGAAACAGAAGTTGCAAACTGCATTACCATCTTTCTCTGTTACAGTCTTCGACTCTTCACCAGAAGGCACAGAAAGTGTGGACTCAGAAGCGCTCACTTTTTTTGATGTCATGAAGCCTAGGACACAGAAATAAAACCCGTTCAGCAAGAATTTCACTGAGTGTTAGACATGACAACGCATTTGCTTTAGAAAGAACATGCATCCCTCATTAGCTACTTCTTTTTTTTTTAGGTGTTTTTTGTCTGTCTGTTTGTTTGTTTTATTTTGAGTCGGGATCTCACTCTGTTGCCCAGGCTGGGTGCATGGCTCACTTCAGTCTCACCTCCTGGGCTCAGGAGCAGCTGGGACTACAGCTGCGTGCCACCGTGCCAGGTTAATTTTCTAGTTTTTTCGCAGAGATGAAGTCTCGCTCTGCTGCCCAGTCTGGTCTTGAACTCCCAGGCTCAAGCAATCCTCCCAAAGTGCAGGGATGACAAGCATGAGCCACCACGCCTGGCTCTGTATCTTACCCACTTCTAAAAACCTACTGGATAATAAATTCACAGATAGGTAGGACCCATATTTTGTGATTTAAATAAGAAAGAAAAAATGCATTCCCAGTCCATACAAAAACCCCAATTTTCCTAAACATCACTAAAACACATCTTTTTTTGTTGTTGTTGGAGTCTCACTCTGTCACCCAGGCTGGAGTGCAGTGGTACGCTCACAGTCATCACAGCCTTGACCTGCTGGGCTCAGGTGATCCTTCCGCCTCAGCCTTCCAAGTAGCTGCAACTACAGGCATGCACCAGCACATCCAGCTAATTTTTTTATTTATTGTAGAAACAAGTTCTTCCCAAGTTGCCCAGCTGATCTTGAACCCCTGGGTTCAGACAATTCTCTCACTTCAACCTCCCAAGGTGCTGGGATGACAGGTGTGAGCTACCACGCCCAGCTTAAAACACAGCTTTAACCTATATAACAATCCACTAAGGACTTCTAAATAACGCAAAGCAGTTACAACACAGTTGACTGCCTGTCTGAAACCCGATGCCCTCATGGGTGAGTGTATCCGAACCAGGCTGGCATAAGGCCAACCTGCTCAGCGACCTGAGCACACTTGCTGAGACCTGCGGAGAGCTTGTTCATGTCACTGCCGTGTGCACGCCTACACATGACCGCAGATTTTTACCCTAGTGAATATTGGATACAATTTTTGTCAGTCATTATAGCAACTACTGATTTAAGAGAGAGTTCAGATAGTGAGAAGCGCTGTCCTTTCCGCTGAGGGACAATGAAAACGACATCCTTTCTCTCACCACACCCAGCTCCCACCAAGACCTGCAAAACCAGAAACTACCAAGTAACAGCCTGCCTTATGGGGACTTCTGTGTGCACTGTAGAGAGTCACATTACTCAGATGCAGAAGCCATGGACCACACTGGCCCTAATTCCACCGGGCATCGTCCTGGTCCTGCTTACTCAAGGAGGACCTTTCCACTTATGTGATAGAAAGACACCGACACAAATAGCTAAAACACGAGGATGTGTTGGAACAAGCACTAGCATACAAGGAGGGGCAGAACTGTGGCCACTGAGATTCATCAGTGCCAGGTTGAGAAGACCACATTCTGAGATGCGTCTTAGGGACAGGTCAGGAGCTTTCCAGAGAATACTGGCAGTACAGTAGGGAAGAACTGAGGGTCGGAACTCCAGAGAGAAAAACAAAAATCTTAAGGCACAGAGAACGGGGAGAGGCCTGGCTGGAATACAGCACCTCTGAAAGGTGGGAGAAGTAAGCCAAGGCAGGTCACAGCAAAACCTCAGAGGGAGACCGTGCTGGGCTGAACACTGGACCTCTTCCATAACAAACGAGTCTCCACTGGGCTTTGGAAGAAAGGATGGGCAGGAACAGAGTTCTAGCCAAATAACGTTCTCCTCACAGCGAGGCCAAGAAGGAAGCAGCAGAGGAGAGGCTGGACACAGCGACAGGGAGAAGCTACCAGCACAGGAGAGGGACCACCAAGAGCCAAACACAGGAGAGGGGCCACGAAGAGCCAACCACGGCCCAGGGGAGGGACCACCGGGAGCCAACCACGGCCAGGAGAGACACACCAAGAGCCAATCATAATCAGGAGAGGAATGACCAGGAGCCAACCACAGCCCAGGGGAGGGGCCATCAGGAGTCAACCACGGCCCAGGGCAGGGACCACCAAGAGCCAAACACAGGAGAGAGACCACCAGGAGCCAACCACAGCACAGGAGAGGGACCACCGGGAGCCAACCATGGCCCAGGCACATGATCCTGAGCCAGAACAGCAGAGTGCGCATGGAGAGAACACAAGAGATTCTATGAAGAGCAACCTACAGAGCAAATTTCTTATATTCTCAGGATCATATTTTCAGTTCTAAAATATCCATTTGGGTCTTGAATTAGAGATTCACACGGAGGTGTAAAATGTAATACTGTAGTTTCGCAAAAGTGACCTTTGAGGGGAACTAGGAAAAGTATGCGTGGGATATTCTTGTATTATTTACCAACCAGGATATTGACCTTGACACAATTCACCAATCTTACTCAGAGTGCCACAGGTTTACTTGTATTTGTGTGTGTGTGTGTGTGTGTGCGCGCGCGCATGCATGCACGCACGTGTCTGCACATGGGCATGTCATTTGGTTCTTTTCCATATCTTCTATTTCTCTGCTGAAACTTTCCCATTTGTTTCAAGAGTGTTCACCCTTAATTCTTGGAGCATGGTTACAATATATTAACACATATTACATGTTAATTGCAACATCAGTGTCTCCTCAAAGCTGTCATGCTGTGACTGATTTTTCCTCACAAGATATGGAGACTCTCCTGGTTTTTCATATTTTAAGTAACTGTATCCTATATCACTTAACGGTTATGTGTGGAACTTATTTAAATCCTGTGGCGAGTAGTGACTGGGTTGTTTTCGCAGGCGGTAGACCTGTCAGGTTTGGGCTATAAGTTCCTGGCCTCTTTCTGTGCACTGGTTCCAAGGTCAGTTCCATTTCCACATCTTTGCAGTACAAAGTGAATACCTGCCCTGTGTGTTGTGCTACCCAGCAGTCCAGTCTAGGACTAAGCAGTGGTCTGCCAAAGAATCCAAAGCCTTTGGTCAGACCCGTGCGCCACAGCTTGGGAGTGGGCCTGGGAGCTTGTGTCCAACATCCTGAACCTGTCTCGATGACCTCCCCGATACTCCCTGCTCCAGGGCACCCGTTCCTGGTCTCCTGGAACACCTCCCCTCAGTTTACCTGCTCTGGCATATAATCTTCTGAGACTGATTCTGCCTCTGAACCACATAGTGGGAAAACAGAAGAAAAACCCATGGAGGTTCCATCCATGTTCTTGGGACAGTTCCTCTGGCCAAGACAAGGGCCTCCCTGCCTTGGGGTCTCAAGGACCCGCCCACCCACTGCCGCTGGGGTGGAGAACCAAGGAAACAGGTGAAACACAGAGAAGGCAGGGGACTCCTTCATGACCTAACAGGAGACCCCATTTCTCCTCCTCAGACCAGAAACAGAGGTGGCTTCTTCTGAAGCCGTCTGTCCAGACCCAGCATGCACATCTGGGTTTTAGGCTAAAAGGATGCCTTCATCATGGTACCCAACAGTCCGCAGATCTAGCAAAGCAGGTAAGAAATATCTACAGAAAACATCAGTCAATCTTATAGGGGTATTTTTAAAAATCTAATTAAATAGAAAGATATTCCAAGCTCATAGTTAAAAACAAAAACTGACTATTGTAAAGATGTCAGTTCTTTTCTAATTGATTTAAGGTTCAAATAAAATTCCAGTTAAAATCTCAATAGATTTTTAAAAAGGAAAACAGCAGCTTCTTCCAAAAGTTATATGGAAGTGTGATTTATAGGGACCCAAACAGGTGAGACAATCATCAAAAATAAAGCAGGAGGCTTTTCTCCACTAGATGTCGAGAGCTATTTTTTAAAACTATAGGAAATATGAAGTATAGAGTAACACAGGACGACAGCCAAACCGCCCGGCAGAACGGAAGGAAAAGGCTGGTGAACTCTTGGCTAAAATCCTTTCACCCTGATAGAAAGCCTTCTGCTTCAGCTACTGATGAAGTGCCAAGCTTTTCTGCACAACTATTTTGTGCCACGTGCTCCAGTAAATACAAAATGACGAAACACTTCCACGGTTCGTTTAAAGCTTAAAATTTTGCTGAGAGCATAAAAAATGTGCACAAATAAAGCAATTAGAGAACAAAGCCCCAGATAATAAATACCAGTTGGGGGAGAGATTAAAAGCTCATACAAAGTTAGAGAGTGAAGGGTTGACAGGGACGAAGCCACCAGGACCACCTTCATGGGGATCTGAGCCGGAGAAGCAGGAGGCAGAGGAGGGAGGACCTCGAGGGAGGGAAGCCCGAGAGTACCCCAGGGAGGAGTGAGCACAGGCAGGTGAGAGGTGGGGCCCAGGTGTGGCCACGGCTCAGCCGCGGAGGTGCAGAGTTGCCCCTGGTAAGGAAAGGACGGGACGCTCACCGAGGTTCAAAAGTCGGGACATTTTCCTGGTGAAAAAGAAATCACTAAACACCCTTGGCCAGGTGAGGACCATAACACTGGCTGCATTCATGAAGATTAAATGGGAGCATGAAATCCAGGATCAAGGTTAGATTACAGGTGACAAGTTGGAGGCAGCAGGAAGGACAAGGAAGGGGTGACCCAAAACGCTCCTGCTAGGAGCTGAACCACAGCTGAGCTTTGCAACATGGAGGATGCAGGTTTTATTAAACTCGGCTTCATCATTGGCTCACAAAAAAGCACGACGCAATCTAAAGGTCAGGACTCCCTCCAGTGCAACTAAAATGCTGAGGAAGACAGTGTGTTCGCGAGAGTGACCCACCAGTGTTTCCTCTGGACACAGGGGAAGCCGCCTCTGTCTTCGGGGCCCTGGCGAGGGGTGCGGCTGCCTTGGCAGAAGGGGCCTGCACGGTGTTCTTCCTGCGGTCTTTGGCTCTGCTGATCTTCGACAGAGGAGCAAAAATCCCTACGGGAGACAGGAGAATTTCAGTTAGACATTTAAAAGCATTTCAAGTAAAGGCGCAAGTGTAAGTACTTAGTGATGTAACCTACATTTTGAGCGCCTACCGCGTATCCTGTAGGGAGACGCAGAAAAAAATAGAACTGTCCTCAAAGGGCTTTCAATCTAGCTGTCAAGGTGAACACCCCGTAATGTGAGAACCACAAAGAAGACACATTACCAGGCATTGAGCGAAGCTAGGGGAAGCGACAAGGGTCAAGGGAGCAGTCTTTTATGATTACTGAGCTGTTGGCAAGGACAGCACAAACCCACTCCTCCTGTCCTTGCTGTCTCCTGCGGAACTTATACTAACCCCACATTGCAGCCTTTTATCCAAGTCTTCTCTCTCTTCCAGGCTGTGCACCTTTCAAAGACAAAATTTAAATGCTACTCGACTCTCTCTGCTCCATTGCGCCCACCTGCAGGGCCTTCCCTAGACTAGGGACCCAACAAATCTTTTTGACTACAAGATACAATCTCCCCAAAGGGTCCACCCCTCAGTCCCCGACAGGCAGAAACAGCCCAGTGTGTGCTGAGGAAGGGTGGCACGCAGCACCAGGGGATGGTAGAACTTCATCAAAAAGGGAGTTTATCCAGGCAACAAAACAGACGTGCTAACAAGTAGGCACAGACACTAGAGATGAGGAATTCAGACTCTAAATACCAAGATAATCTGGCTAAGGTATTTTTAAAAGAGAGAAGAACATCGTAATATTTATATTCCACTTTCGTTGAGTGTTTACAATCTCACAGATACATATCATGTCTAAGATGGAATTTACGAGGGGGGAGCCTCAAAAAACTGGAATTATCTTTTGGAGGGCAGGCCCCATGTAGTCCAGGCTTCCCCTCTAGGGAAGTGTTCTAGGCATCCATTGACATCAGTGTACCAGCTAGCGTTGTTGTGAGAGGCTGCACTCGGCTTTAGTCCATTTTGGGGGAGAGTCTTTCAACACATTTGCCCATTTCATGATGGGTGATTTACAAGTGCACCTGCCCACACCGTGCTGAGTGTTCAGCAGTTGTTGTTGTTTTTTTTACCAAAAACGGCATGATCCTATCATGCCCCACTCTCCCCATCCACCTAATCTCACACCTGAGTGACATTTTTACTTGTTTGTTTCCCTGGATGAAAAAGTCCTCAAAGGGAAATGTTTTGCCAATGTGGAAGAGATGAAACAAAAAACAGCAGAAACACGAAGAGGAGTCAAAATGACGAGTTCAAAACTGTTTTGAGCAGTGGAAAAAGCATCTCGAGAGGTGTATTGCATCACTTGGAGAGTACGCTGAAGGTGACTGAAGTTTAAACATGTAAGGATAAACACACAATGTTTTATAAATAAATTCTGGGTTTTTGGGGGGGGTCCCCTCTCAAGAGTCTACAGTGCTTTAATAGCTACAGAAGGCGGCTACACTACTTTTCTCCAAATCTTCAAGTCTCTCCTCCCTCGGACTTTAGACTACTTTATCCAGATTTCCTTACTTCTCTTTTTGATTCTTCACAGCATTCTCTCCTCTGTCTCCACCTCTGAGATTCTCCTTATCTTTCTATTCTTTCCCAAATTTTTTTCCTTCCCCCTACACACACACACTTTCTAAGGCTCGGTGATGGTGATGATGATGATCAATTACTACCAGGATTGCCAAGGGTTTGAAGAAAAAAATTATTTTATACTCTGGGAATGTAAATTTGTGCAATCTTTGCAGAAGGCAAAAATCCATTTTATGGAATTACAACTAAATTATACCTAATGCTATGAAGATTACAAGGTTACATCTGTATACTCTTTTTTTAAAATCTAAAACAATGTCTAGTTTACAGGAATGTCTCCATTTCTAGCTGACTACTATGATCTAATCACGCTTCTGGAAATTAATCATGAGAAATAATCCAAATAGGAGAAAAGGCTGCAGACCTGAATAAGTCATCACTGTAATATTACTCATAAGGAGGAGAAAATAATTGTCTGGTTAACTACATATGTAATTACTACATTATGTAAACTACATAATTAACTACATACGTAAACTAAGCTATAGCATTATACCATTAATAAGTAAAACAATAAAGATCATACGGTAATACAGAAAAATATAAAAAGCAAATCAAGAAAATAAAAAGTTCTATATCTGATTACATTATGATAACATTTGTGAAAAACTGTATATGTGACTAGAGGCAGGACTGGAAAAAAACCTTTAAAAAATTCGTGAGAGCAGTCAGGCCACAAAATATTTTTCTAAGTTGTTTCATTTGTGTCATGAATGTCATAATAATGTTCAATAAATTATGATTTTTTTTAATCTGAGGAAAAATGTGATTTTTTTCCCAAGATACTACCAGAAAATTTCTGTAAGCTAAAACATGTTTGTTTTCTTTAAACAGAATAAAATATTCAATTCTATGGCTGTAAGATATTTCTACAGCACATGGACTGCCTCTGTCTTGTTCTCTGTCTTCCTATTTTCTAATGAGCCATGACATTGGGAAACCAACCCCACATAGAGCGAGAATGAACACAGCACGCACCAGCCTTCCCATTCAGTCACTCAGGTTAACTGAAGAGCTGAGAGGACTTTCCTCAGATCCTGGCACAGAACTGTAAGGGTCAACTAACAATAAACACATGATCATCACTTTAAAAAGTTAAAGTGATTTTCTGATAAACATGACCCACTGAATATATGTGTTTAACTCCAATTCTTCCCAAAACCCCACTAAAATACTGGTAAGGAATAAAAATATTATAAACACTAAAGAAAGAAAAAAAGAAGAAAAAAATACTAAAAGTTTCCAAGAGGAGGGAAAAGGCCTACCAGAAAAGATGGAAAGACGATGTCCGTTCTAAATACTGGAGGCTCAAGACACGGCAGCAATGTGGCCCAAGCGCTGTGTCCCACCCCACCTGTGTCTGTGAGGCTTGACAGGAACACAGCCATGGTCACTCGTCCCATATCGCTTGTTCCTGATGTCAGCAGGGCTGAGGGCAACCAATAGAGGCTGCACAGCCCACAAAGCCTAAACCGCCAACCACAGGGCCAAACTCTGTATGAGACAGCAGGTGTCACCCCAACATACGGGGGAAGGTGGAGGCCACCCAACCTTCCCTACCCAACTGTCCTGTGAAATCAGACCTTTTGGAAGGTCTCAAAAAATTCACCCCCATGACTCCTTTGTCAGGAAGCTACTGAAAGGTGAGCTTCACCAAAATGAGAAGGCAAACCAGGAGAGAAAGACACTGAGAGCAGCCCGTGCACAAAGCCTTTCTCTTAGAATTATCCAAACTCAAAAGATGTCTCAAACTGGAACCATCAAGAAAGAATCATATATATATGTTATTTACAAATACATATACAATATCAGAAGGCTCGGCTAAAGTAGCTGAAAACGTTCTTGCCTCGGAGGGGCAGGACCCGGGGCAGGGACGGGCAAGCTGGTGGAAGTTTTGCGGCAGTTTTTCTTAAGCCTACGGCACAATCTGATTTGGTCACCAAGCACACGAGTTCACATTGCTAATTATTAAAGGACATAAAGGCCAAACATTCCTTAAGCATCTAGGCCCCTCTCCAATCTTAAAGAGGTAGAGCCATCCTTTTTCTCTGACCCACTTTCTAAATAAACTTTCTTTTCTAATCTAAAAACAAACAAACAAAAAAACCATAAAAAGCACTACCACCAAGTACTCAAACCTATTCTAAATCTTCTACAACTTAAAAAACATCTACTATGTGCTGGAATTCACAGAGCAATAGAATGAACTGATCCCGAAACAGACCCTGTGTTGATAAGAACTTCCTTCAAGCCGGGCTTGGTGGCTCAGCCTATAATCCCGCGCCTTTGGGAGGCTGAGGTGAGTGGATTGCCTGAGCCCGCGGGTTTGAGACCCACCCGGGCAGCGAGACCTCATCTCTACAATAAATCAAAAAATCAGCCGGGCATGGTGGCACATGCCTGTAATTCCGGCTACTTGGAAGGCTGAGGCGGAAGGATCGCCGGAGCCCAGCAGGTCGAGGCTGCGGTAGCCAGGAGCGGCCACTGCACTCCAGTCTGGGCGACAGAGTGAGACTCCAACTCAAAAAATAAAAAATAAAAAAAATTTAAAAAAAGAACTTCCTTCATAATAAAAGCAACACACAGGCCCAGGGGAGAATGGCCGCCAGAGCAGGGGGGACACCAGGTGCTGACGACCAATACTGCACTCCACCCCCCTCCCGCCCCACTGCCAGCGGCTGAGCTGTGGCCTGGCTCGGAGCAACTGGGAGGGCTCCTCCATCCCACAGTCCAACATATGACCCCACCCAAAACTTGCCCTTAGTGCATCGAAGGGACAGAGGCAGGTCCTGAGTACCCAGCTTTGTCCTAATCAAGCATGCTCTCCTCAGGACAAGTCTGGAGTCCACATGCCTTCAGTTGACAACCCAAACACTTCCAGCAAACCTGACGTACAGCTTCCCTGTGTGTTGCTAGAGGCGTGTGGTCCTGCCCTTAGGCTTTCGATGGTTGCCAAGATTCTCTCTCCAAGGAAAATTAAAATTAAGTTCTTAACCTCACACTACCCACCAAATAAATTCCAGATGGGTTACATAATTAAGTGTAAAAAAAACTTACAACATTCAAATGACCGTTAGGTAGGAGGAATACGTTCCAGTGTTCTACAGTACTGTAGGGTGAATAGAGTTAATAATATTTTACTATTTATGTTCAAAAAGCTGGAAGAGAGGATTTTTAATGTTCTCAACACAAAGAAGTGGCAAATGCTTGAGGTAATAGATATGCTAATTACCCTGATTTGATCATTGCACAATTATACATGTATCTAAATATCACTCTGTACATCATAAATATTATAATTATCACATGTCAACTAAAAATAAAAGAAAAACTAAAACATTTAAGGGAATCAAAGATATTGTTTATAACTCATCCTTGGGTTAGGAAGAATTATCAATCAAAGCACAGGAGCAATATAAAAATGTATAAAGGAAAAGTCTTTTAACTACACAAACTTATATTCCAATAAGCACTGCAAATAAAGCTCAAAGGCAAATGACCAACTGTGCAAAGTGTCTCTCATAAATACAGAGGCTTAATATTCTAAATACAGTTTTTTTTAAAAATTCATTCTTTTTAAAATAAACACTAATATCCCATTTTTAATGGGAAAATAATATGAATAGGCAGTTGCCAAGATAACACACAATTACATATACTATAACGAAACATTGAAAAGTTTTATTTCAATCACAGAAATATGAATTAAAGCAGAAATATGAATTAAAGCAGAAATTTTTACTTATCAAATTGGAAAAAAATTAAAAAGAAAATGGAGTCATTAAAAATCAAATTTTCAAATAATATGTAAAGGCTTGGTCAATTATAACAGGATATCAAGTAAAATGCAGAATTTATACCTTTTGTTCAACTCTTATAGAATGAGTCTTCTATAATGAACAAAAAAGTTTTAATAGGCAAAAAATATATATGAGATTCCATTCTGAGGGTGTGATGAAAGGAAACCAGTAATTTGGGTAAGTGTGCACCAGCAAGCCAACAGCTGCCCCTTGCTGAGGGCTCCCAGGACATCAAGCACTGTTCTAGCTACCCTAGGTGCTCATCAACACATCTAATCCTTGCATGAATCCTTATCTTTCCCGTCCACACAGCAAGTACCCACGAACTCACACGGAGACACATGTAAAAGAAGGTGTGGTGAGAGGGAAAAGAAAAGGGATTTATCAAAATAAACATTTATCAAAAAGAGAAGGCATCAGCCCAGCTCAGGAGCACGGCATAGAGGTGGCATTAATTGCTTTTGCCAATGGTTCAGGTTCTTCACGACCTCCAGCACTCTGCATTTCCTTGGTAATCAACTCCCTCCCTGAGCCGTAACACCACCAGGACATTGAAGGGCGGCCCCAGAGCTGGGTTGTGCTCCTGGAGCGATGCCACTCCCATCACCGACTGCTCAGGCAGCAGGTGAGGTAGCCCCAGTGCTCACGGTGTCACCTCCACCCTCATCCTGATAGTCATGCACTCACAGTGTACCCCCTCTTTCATCCCCATCATCATACGTTCATGGTGTACCCACCACTCTCCTCCCCATCGTCATGCACTCACAGGCTACTCCCCGCTCTCATGGCCACTGTCATGTCTCCCCACTGCAAACCACCTGTGAGATGGCTCCCAAGGAAAGGCATTTTCCCAAAGTCCATCCAGACAATCCCAACATACACCCTCTTTACCAGCTGCTACCATACGCTGAGACTCCCGCCAACTGATCTCCTGGATCCATTAGCCTGACCCAAGAGCCCAGCCCTTGCCTTGCCCTGTAGACCTTTCCTTCATGACTCTGAAACTCACATCTCTCAGCAGCCATGTCCCTGCTCTGTCCAAATGCCTACTTCCCCCTCCCCCACTTCTGACTCTTCCTCCCGTCTCTCTCCTGGAGACGCTGCTTCCCCCAGCTGTCAGGGAGCAGGCGCGGCATGGGCACAACACCTCCTGACACCAAGCAGGAACGAGACCATGCACAGCACTGCCTGACACCAGGTGGCAAAGAGAAAAGGTTTATCTTGTTTGTGGGTTTTGCCATCACGGCCATTTTTAGGACACTGATTTCTCCTCCCAAAAAGGAAGAGCAAAAGAGGAAAGCTGATCTGCCCATCAGACCGACTGCACCATGGACGCCTCTCCTCCTGGAAGCCCCCACCTGAGTGCTAGCCACTGCTCATTCTGGAAAGCCTCCCCTGCCCTCCTCCTCTTCACACCCTCAGGTGGGCCACCCAGCACCTTGGCTGTCACCTGCCCTCTCACTCAGCTCACAAGCAAGGCTGACCCAAATCTCCACCTTCGAAATCTGTGCTGAGAGCACCTCCCATCTCCCACCACTCCAGGCCCCTGCCTCAGCCCCCTCAGCTGCCCAGCCTTGTCCTCAGGAAGGGCCACCCCCCACTTTCTCATGGTCCATCTTCCCTGTCATGTCCTCATCCTTTTCCCAACCAGCTCAGCTCCCACAATTCCCTATTCTAGTCCCTCCCTCATCTACTATAACTTCAAGTTCTTTGCCTCCTTCCTTCCTTCCATCAATCACCCTAGGAAAAAAATGAACCCTGGTGAAACTGAACTCTGTACTGACACAGTACCTCTACCCAAACAGTCTAATATGACTGGAGAAAGACACTCACCCATGACACTGGTCTCGCTCCAGGGTCATGACCACAAACTCACCCAGGCCGTTGGCGGGGCGGGGCTGCCGACGTATTCCCTTGAACTAGTCACATCCTTGCTCTCAAATCGCTCCTCACACCTCCTCCATCCTCAGCCCCCAACCATCTCCCCTCTCCCGAGACTAGCCAATGACCTCGCTTCTGATTTTCTGAGAAAACAGACTATCAAAAGACAACAACCATACCTTCCCACTGCCTCACTCCCGAAAAAGCCAACAGCTGTGCCCCACCTGACACAAGGCTCATTTCACCCTGAAATCACCCCCTCCTGACTTCCTGTGGGCTTTCCTCCCATGGCTGTTCCCTTTCTCTCCTGAAACCTCACTCTCATCCCCTCTCATCATTCTCTTCCCTGTGGGCACACAGAGCTTTATCCCGTCTTTAAAAAGTCCTCCCTCAACCCACCTCCCTGTGTTTGTTATACAAGTTATTACCAGGAGAAAAGATTTTAAAGCTGCAAAAGTGTAAAACTTAATTATTGTAAATTAACTTTTACTGGGTTAAATACTATCAGCCTTACCATATTTGGGGGCACATTTAAAGTACTGGACTTTTCCAACACTTCCATTGTTTTTTCCTTCTGGTTCATCCAATTCGATGCCAGCCCACTGCCCACTTGCAAATTCAGTTGTTCCACAAAATCTTAATGTGCCGACCTAAAGAAAATATAAATCAGAATAACTTTTGATTATTACTCGTGATTCCAAGTGTCCTGCTCTTACCAACTTTACTTCAACATGAAAGTTTTTAAGAGCTCACTGTCTTAAAGTGGACTTCAGAACAACGAGCATTGACAAGGATGAAGAGGGACATTAAATAACCATAAAGGAGTCAATTCCCAAGAAGACGTGAAAATCCTAAATGCATATGCTCCCAACAACTGAGCTTCAAAACACATGAAGTAAAACCCAATAGGACTGAAAGGAGAAATAGACAAATCCACATTTCAGTTGGAGACCTTGATACACCTTTCTTAGTAATCAATAGACCAAGTAAGTAGAAAATCAGTAAGGATACAGAAGAATTGAAACCACCTATAAGTCAACTTGACCAGACATTTATAGACAGTCCACCCCAAACAGTAGAATACAATGTAGAAGAACAGAAATCACGCAAAATACGCTCTTGAACCATAATGGAATTAAACTAGAAGTCACTTACTGAAAAATACATGAAAATCTCCAAATATCTGGAAGTCAGACAATGTGTTCCTAGATAACCCATCAGTGAAAGAGAAAAAATCACAAGGGAAATTAGAAAATATTTTGAACTGAGTCAAATGATATGTCAAAACATGTGGAATGCAAAAGTAGTGCTTAGAGGGAAATTTATAGCATTAAGTGATTACATTTTAAAAGGTCTCAAATCAATGATCTAAACTTCCACTTTATGAAACATAAAGTGAAAACCCGAGGCAAGCAAAAGGAGGAAATAATTAAGGTAAGAAATTAAGAACAGAAACTGAAAGCAGGTTTTGTGGAAGGATAAAGATTAATATCCTTCTAGTTAGAGATCAAGGGTAAAAAAAGAGAGAGAGAGGACAAATGACAAATACCACAAATGAAAGAGGGAAACTAATACAGACCCTCAGTCATTTAAAAAGATAGTAAGAAAATGCTACGAACAACTCTCTATAAATATGACAAATGAGATGAAATGTTTCAATTCCTTGAAAAGCTCAAAACTGTCAAACTCATATATGGATTAGGTAGGTAGTTTTAAATCTTGTTTAAGAAATCAGGAAAGCCTTCAGGCCCAGATTGGCCTCACAAGTGAATTCTACCAAACAATTTAAGGAACAAATAATATCAATTCTACACAAACACTTCTAGAATATAAAAATGTCGCGATCAGTTCTAAACTCATAATGACAATATTACCTTGATCCTAAAATCACCCAAAGACATTATAAGATAGAAAACTATAGACCTATATCTCTCATGAACACATACACAAGAATCTTTTTTTTTTTTTTTTGAGTTGGAGTCTCACTCTGTTGCCCAGACTGGAGTGCAGTGGCCGCTCCCGGCCACCACAGCCTCAACCTGCTGGGCTCCGGCAATCCTTCCGCCTCAGGCTTCCAAGTAGCCGGAACGACAGGTGCGTGCTACCATGCCCGGCTAATTTTTTTTTTTTTTTTTTACTTATTGTAGAGATGAGGTCTCGCCAAGTTGCCCAAACAGGTCTCGAACCTGTGGGCTCAGGCAATCCACTCACCTCAGCCTCTCAAAGGCATGGGATTACAGGCTGAGCCACCAAGCCCGGCTCACAAGAATCTTTAACAAAATAATAGCAAATCAAATCCAGCAATATATATAGAAAGGATGACACATCATGACCAAGTGAGGCTTATGACAGGAATGCAAGGTTAGTTCAATATTTGAAAATCAATTGATGCAATTCATAATAGTAACAGACTAACGAAGGAAAAAAGACTTGTCATCCTAACCGAGAAAAAGTTTTCAGTTAATTTTAACATCTTTTCATGATAATAATAATTTTTAAAAGACTCTCAGAAGGCTAGGAATAGATGGAAACCTCCTCAACTCAATAAAGAACATCTATACAAAACTTACAGCAAACAATTATCATACTTAATGATAAAAGACTGAGTGCTTTCCCCTAAGACTGGGAAAAGGCAAGGATGTCAGCTTCTACCACTCCTACGCATAATTTTACTGGAGTTCCTAGTTAAGAAAAATAAACTCTCCATAGATTGGAAAGAAAGAAATAAAACTGTCCCTACTCCCAGACAGCATGATTGTTTACATAGGATATCTCAAAGAATCCACAATATAATAAGGTCACTGGACCTAATAAATTTAACAAGATGACAGAATACACAATCAATATTTTAAAAATCAACTGTATTTCTAAATACAACTATGAAACATTAAAAATTGAATTTCAAAAACACCACCATTTACAATAGCACCAGCCTAAAAAAACTTAGGTAGAAATCCAACAAAGCATGTGCAATATTTGTATGTTTAAAACTACAAAACCCTGATGAAATAAACCAAAGAATTATTTAAACAGAGAGATATATATTGTTTTTGCAAATTCAAAAACCTGATAGCCTTAAAATGTCAATTATTTTCAACCTGATATATAGATTCAACACAACTCGGTTCAAATACCAGCAGGATGTTTTATAAAAATATACAAGGTTATTCTAAAATGTTCATGAAAAGGCAATAAAACTAAACAATAAAAAGAATTTTAGAAAAAAAATAAAACTGGAGGCTTAACACTACCTGACAGCAAGACCCACTATAAAGCAACAATAATTCTAACAGTATTGGAGTAAGAGTAGTCACTGGATCAATGGTGTCGAATCCAGAAAGACACCCACGCATATGTGGCCATCTGGTCTGAAAAGGTGCAAGGGCAATTCAATGGGGAAGAAAAGTCTTTCCAAAAAAAGGTGCTGGAACAGATAGATAGCCATGTGAACAAAAGAAAGGAACTCAGTCTACACTCACTACTCTACACAAAAATTAACTCGAAAGTAAATAGAAAACTAAATCTAAAACCCATACTATAAACTTGTTGATGAAATCACAGTGGGATATCCCTTAGATGTGATATAAAACACACAATCCGTGAAAAGAAAAGGTCGATAAACTAGGCTTTATCAAAAGTTAAAACTTCCGCTCTTTGAAAGATACTCTTGAGAGCATGAAAAGACAAGCAACAGTGTGAGAGAAAATCAAGGGAGGCGAGATCGGCCATACGTTGACTAAGTTAAACAGAGCTGATGGGTGTGAGTGCATTCATGACATACACATCTACTTGCGCACAGCTTAAAATTGCCCAAAATAAATAGAAAAATGCAACAACAACTCTTCAGTCTTCTGAGACACAGTGCAAAAAGACTGTGGGAACTGAATGGGAACCCTACCAGGAAACACTGACGTCACTAACTCTTGGTATTTTAGTTCCACAGACAATGACAAACTAACAACCATCCTATGAACACATTCTTTCAAAAGTTGGTGAATGCCATTCCCTTCACTCAATACGGTGTTTGGAGCTTTGTTTCTTTCCTGAATTAATTTTCTCAACAAATCAACCCTCTAAATGTCAGCATGTTCTCAGCAACTTGCATCACCCTCCCCACAAGCCCACCCGGCTTTTGAGATGTAACATACTCTGCCGGGAAATCCAGTATCCAAGCAGGAAGACCCGCCCCATCCATCCATCAAGCTCCCTACGGATCTCAACACTGAGAATAAAGACAAACACACTTCCCACAAGGGGTATTGAAAAACAAGCTGGCAACACGTGACCGCAGCGTGACACGGACGTGCTGGGGGGAGGGATGTCTGGGAGTCTCCAACAGCGAATGGGAGGGGAGTCCTCTGCTCCCACAAATCTTCACCACTGGAGATATAGTCTCTCAGACGACCACCGTCTGTGGGATCTCAAGGACGAACACCCACAACCAGCAAGGGCCCCTGCACTCAGTTTCTGGGGAGTGGCAGTGATAAGAGAAGACAGTAGGGGGTAATGGAGGCTAGGTCTCCCTCAGCGTGGCCTCGCGCCCGCCCCACTCCACTCCTTATTCAGACAGAGATGTCTTTGAGACTAAGCTCGACTGGCTCATGGTCTTAAATCACACCTCACAGAGAAGCTGCACCTAAGTGCCATATTCTCTACTGAAGAATCTTTCCAGTTAAACCTTCTTTAGAAGCACAACTCCGAGGCTGGGTGCTATGGTTCAAGCCTTCAATCCCAGCACTTTGGGAGGCCGGGGTGAGAGGATTGGCTGAGTTTAGGGGTTCGAGACCAGCCTGGGCAACTTGGTGAGACCTCGTCTCTACAATAAATCAAGAAAAATTAGCCAGGCGTGGTGGCATGAGCCTGCAGTTCCAGCTACTTGGAAGCCTGAGGGGAAGGATCGCCTGAGCCCAGCAGGTCGAGGCTGCAGTGGCCGTGAGCGTTTCCCTGCACTCCATACGGCTTAGGGGACAGAGTGAGTCTCCAACTCAAAAGAAAAGAAGAAAAAAGAAACACAAGTCTGACCACACCGCACACACACTTGGACAAGAGTCCATGGACACGGCGACGGGGACACAGCTTCAGAGACTCTGGCTACTCACTATACCTTCTGTCCTGCGATGACAACACGGTCCCCCAGCTTCAGGCCAAGGGACGTGAGCATGGCTTTGCCAGCGGTATGGTCGTAGTGGGGTAGCACAGCCTTCGAGATGCTGCATGACAGAGGCACCGCGTCCAAGAGCATCTGCTTGACCTCCTTGGCAGTGGCCGCAGCGTCCGCCATTTCCAGTGGCATATCCACAGGGTCTGGGACAACATCGGCAGGGATCTGTCCCTTGTCATTCTATAAATGAAGAGAAGGGCACCACATCAGCTCCACTCCTCAGAGTGCTAGAAGGCATAGGAGATTCCTGCGGGAGGGACTCTGAGTCCGACCTGCTCATCATTTATCAACAGCCTTCCCCAAACACCTGCAGCCTGCAGACACCATTCCAGGTGCCGAGGATGCCACAGTGAGGGGACCAAAAGCCCTGCCTTCATAGCACACACCCTCTGGCGGGAGAGACAGGCCACACGAAGTTAGACAAGCAAACTGGACGGCGTCATCCACGGTAATAAGTAGCCCAGAGGGAAAAAACAAGCAAGGAAGGGGACAGAACCCCCAAGACCAAGGTGGCTGTGGCTGTTTAATGGAGCATGGTGGAAGTGGGGGAACCTCGCGATGACCCACCCACACAGAGGACTATGGAGACGAGGGGACTCCCTGTGGGAGTGGGGAGGAAGAGGCCCAAGGCTCCTGGTGGACACATCCTGGTCACATGGATGCAAAAGCGAGCCCGGACACCAGGCACAGTGCTGGCCAGCTTCCCAGCCCCACATCTGCCATCCACACCTGCACCCGGGCTCTGTGACCTCAGCCCTGTCCACTCTAGCCCCAGGTCCACTGTCTTCACCTGCACCCGGGCTTGGTGACCTCAGTCCCATCTGCACCAGCCCCAGGTCCACTGTCTTTACCTGTACCTGCGCTCTGTGACCTCGGCTCCATCCACTCCAGCACCTGGTCCACCATCTACATCTGCACCCAGGCTCTGTGACCTTGGCCCCATCCACACCAGCCCCAAGTCTACTGTCTGCACCTGCACCTGAGCTCTGTGACCTCGGCCCTATCCACTCCAGCTCAAGTCCACTGTCTACACCTGCACCCAGGCTCTGTGACCTTGGCCCCATCCACACCAGCCCCAAGTCTACTGTCTGCACCTGCATCTGGGCTCTGTGACCTCGGCCCTATCCATTCCAGCTCAAGTCCACTGTCTACACCTGCACCCAGGCTCTGTGACCTCGGCCCCCATCACTTATAGGGTCACTTGGACTTCAGAACTAGAAAGTATAGTTTGAATACTTCTGAACTCAGAGCTGTAATCAAGAAAAATAGCTCTGTTCTCACCGTGACAGAGAGACTGTCTCCTGGAATTTATCCTGCAACAAGATAAAATAGCCAGTGACAAGCCCTTGTCACCTGCATTGTGTTTATATAATCAAAACCCTGTCATATGAATCACCCATCTTCTGTTCCCTAGCTACAGCCCTCACTTCTTAAGAAAGAGTTCAGGCTGTAATCTTCGTCTAGGACAATGAAGTTTCTTTTGTTAACTGCGGATTTCCCCTATCTTCACTGCTGATACCCTGCTTCAGATGACCCACAAATGAGGCTTCCAGAACACTCTTACATTGGAAGGGAGCATGTTACCAGGTTTCTGGGATGGGAGCATGCTCTGTGCACCCAAATTTCAGGAATACATGCCAAGTAGAACGAAGACCCCCAAAGACAAGGAGTGGGAGCAGAACTAAACATAATAACCAGACACTAAGTTGTCGGCTCTATCTACAATGAACATTTTACTGGATTTCTGGGTCCGCGCTTTCTAGAGCCAGTCACACACTCCTGCTAATTCCCATTAAATTCCACAATCAGCACTTCTGTCAAGAGAGCTAATGACAGCAACAACTGGAAAGCCGGCGATAATGACGTCTTCCTGACACAAGAAGGCATCTTCACGGTGGACCGTGGGAGTCTGTCATTCATGGCAGTGGCGCTCAGGGCACCATCCCAGGGCTGTTGTTCACCATGCACTGGCCGCTTTGCTCTGTTAAGTACTAACTTTCAAAATTTGGCGATCCATGAACATGTCTGTGGCCTGAGTTGGTCATGAGTCCATCGACATACCTCACGGCATCTGCCAAGTTCAAGCCATCACCCCTCCAAGGGGCTGTGGACAGCGGGACCAGTAAAAGCATCTGCGTGCCACCCCCACACTCAGGGCACCCCCAGCCTCCCGCCCTCCTCTCTCCGCCTCAGGTGCTCTTCCCAACTCCTTCCCTCCCGGCTAATCCTTGTCTGTGTTGAAGAGTTCGAGTGAGATGCTGCCTCTGTGGAGCCTTGGGAAGATGCTCCCCCAGGCCGTAACTCTGCTCTGCCACCCGCGCCCCATGTGTGACACTGAGCTTAGCACAGTACTAAGGTCCAGCACCACTTCCTCAGCTGGCCTTCCCTGGAGACTGTCCTCTGTGAGGACAAGGACTTTCTCTGCTGTATGAGTTATTCTCCCAGTGTCCAACAAACCGCATGGTCCTGAGGAAGGGAGGAGGTTAGAAGGGTGAGGACCAACCCCCGGAGTCAGAAAGAGCAGTGGCAAGAAGTGGGGAACAGGAAAGTGAGGAGCAGAGAGGAGGTGTTTTCAAAGCCCTGACACCTCAGCCCACACCCACCCCTTCTAGGGAAAGCTCAGACTCAAGGAAGAACCTTCCAGAGCAAACCACTGTGATTAATGCAAGGGGAGTGAAAACCGAGAACCACTTTCTCAAAACCAATAAAATACCAAGGGATTTGAAGAACATAAAATCTAACCCTGTGTGTTAACTCTGTAAATGTGTAACATTGTTACTATAAAAATACATGTTTCCTTTAAACATTTCATTTTCCATGGTTAACTCCATTCTTAAATGTGTCATTTAACTTTCTGAAATGAATTTTCTCTCCAAAAATAATTAAAATATGATTTAATAGAAAAAATATGACTTTAACATGCACATCTGTACATAGCCGTTAACTTTTCACAAACATATCAAAATCCTAAACGGAAGATACTTAAAACCTCAAAGATGATGACCCTCAAAGGGGGTTTTACTCTCCTGGGTGGACATGGTCATGCTAAGAGGCCCAAGGCACAAGGCTGAGCCCTCGGTCCCCTACGATGAAGACCACCCTGGGCCCTCCTCACATGAGGCACAGAGAGACAAACCCCGCGCACGTCCCATCTCTTCTCCCGGTGAGAACACCCAGCCCCAGCCCCTTACGGAAGGCACCCCCGGTCTTCCAGGGGCCCGGCACCTCTCCCTCCAGCTCCACCTCTTACCCGGAATGCGGGGTTGGCCCCCTGCTCCAGCAGGCACCTCACGGCCCCGGCACACAGGTTGTAGGCCGCGATGTGCAGAGCCGTTCCGAAACTGAAGTCACTGCAGGTGGCATCCACATCTGCAAGTGAAGGTCACCAGCATCAGCCCAAAGGTTAAATTCACCTGTTGCCATTCAAAAGGAGGCAGGGCTGGGGAGGGGTGGATTTCAGCATTTGTAAGACTTCCATCAACTCATGAGAAACTCTGCTTCACAAGCAAATGAAACCTTCGCATTACATTCTAGCTAAGATAATCAATTGATCATTTTTTTAGAACAAAATACATTATAAAATGGAGTGCCGCTATCCTGGGTTTTCCAACCCTCACACGCAAAACCACATTTTAAAACAGTGAATGACAACAATTCACATGTGCAGAAGTGACTAACGTGTGCAGGTCTCCTGTGAAAGTCGCGTATGGCAGGGCAGAGCAGTGGTCTGAGAAGGCTTTGTGGGCCACAGACTCGCCTTCCCGCACACATTCTCATGGCCACGTTCACGTAGTAGCCGGAGAGCTGAATGGCTGTGACAGATCCTAGGGTCTGAAGAGTCTCCAACCTCTACCATCCACCCCTTCACAGAAAAGGGCTACCTGCACCTGGCAGGTAAAACCACACCGGATTTTCAATTAAGCATTTAAATGCTAACCTATATTATGAGTCATAATGCCCTGCTCAACAAATTAATCTAAGGACATCATAAGGAAAAAGAAACTTGCAATTCCAAAGGCATTTTAATAACTTTAAACAGAGCATCACTCTGTGATACTTAGACACAGGAAATCCTCCCAATGTGTGAATCCCATCCTGGAGGTTTTCACAACAAGGGTCTGCTACACTTCTGGCTCTGCAAATCCCACCCTAAATTAAACATCCCCATGCCCACACACCCCACCCGCAGCCACATATAACCCGCACTCTTGAATTAGGAAAGACAGGGTGCTGTCAACAGAACAACATCTCCTCAACATCACTCAGAAAGTGAAAATGTAGAAGGTTTACTTTTTTTTTTTTTTTTTTTTGA